GTAATTCAGGGCCTGCCATTGTTTTGCTGGCGTAGGCCACAACACGCTTGTCTTTGTCGTGTATTTGGTACAGACCTGCACTCATGCAGTGAGTTGAGAAGCCCACTTCCAAGTAGAACTCTTTGTTGTAGTCTGGGTAGACTAGACATGGGGCTAACTTGAGCCTGTCTTTGAGAGCGTTCATTGCCTGCTGCTGTGTATCAGTCCAGACAAAAGGAACGTCTTTCTTTAAGAGTTCAGTCAGTGGTTTTGTGAGATCCGCATAATGCTCTATGAACTGGCGAGAGTAATTACACACTCCCAAGAAACTCTGTAGTTCTTTGAGATTGGTTGGGACTTTGAGGTTGTCTAGGCCTTGGGTGCGAGTCAATTGTGGTTGTATTCCGTCTGGCCCCCCATAGGAGGCCAACGTAATCCACCTTGGTCCTGCACCACTGGCACTTTGACAGTGAAATTTTAGCACCAGCAGTTGTTAGCTGATTTAGGACGTGGTCGATCTCAGCCAAATGAGAGTCCAGTGTTGGCTGCCTCAAAAGGATGTCGTCCACGTGGATCAGTGTCCCACGCTCGTGGGCGTCTGGACATGCTTTGTTCAAAAAGATGTTGAACTCTGCAGGTGAGTTAGCGTAGCCAAAGGGACACCTGGTAAAGGTGTATTGTCGGCTGCCAAAAGTGAAAGCTAGTTTGTGTTGGTCCTCGGCTCGCACAGGGATGGTCCAAAAACCAGAGGCGACGTCGAGGGTCGAAAAGTACTTACCATCGGTGACCTTTGGCAGTTCCTGATGGAGCTGAGTCATTGGCCACCTGGATAAGGGTACTTGTTTATTTAGCTTCCTGTAGTCTATGGTAAGTCTCCACTTACCATTTGGTTTTAAAACTGGCCATAAAGGCGCAGAGTAGGTGCTATTACATTGTCTGATTATACCTTTGACCAAAAGGTCATCAATGATCTCCTGGACAGGCTGGTACGCTGCCAGAGGGATCTTGTATTGTCTGACAAATGTTGGCGGTGCGTTGGGTGGGGTTGGGATTCTCACTGCGTGGAGTGAGGTCAACCCACAATCTGTTGAGTCAGTTGAAAATGACTTTTCATATTTTACAAGAACTTGGCGAAGTTTGTCTCTTTCTTCATCAGATGTCAGAGCGTCGGCTTGGGCGACCACCTGATCAATCTGTGATGAGACTGATAAGGGTTCTTGCTCCTTGGGGAGCTCCAACGAATCCCTTTCTGAGTCGTCGGGCCTGTCTATGGGTAAGACACCATAGGTTTGAGGTCCTTGGTCGACGTCGTCGGTTGAAAAAAGAGCTATGGCCTGTGTTGGTTTTGTGAACCATACTGGCCCAGCTTCTTGACTCGGTACCAGGTTGTCTGGGAGTCCTCCCAGAAATGGAATGCCTAGTTCAAAATCATGAAAGTCAGTGGAAATCAACCATCCTAGCATAGTGTTTTTTGGGATCAGCACCTCATCCATGCCTGTGTTACACACAGCAATAGATGTGGTCCTGGAGTCAAGACTCACTTGGTTCGTGGCTTCCACGGACAGTCCCAAGTTGAAAAATGCAGGAGAGGGTTGAAAATATGCCTGTTTATGGCTAATAGCTTGTCCAGCTATGATGTGGATTCGCACCATTAGGTTAATCACCTGAGGTGGTACTGTGGTGGTTTGGTTGCTAGCAACCTGGCAGGCCTCTGGAATGGTCTGCCCAGCCTTAAGGTTTGCTGTGTCTAGCACAGGAGGATCCTTTGTGGCTGGTTTTAGGGACCACAGCACCTTGTTGATGGTGTCCACGTGGACACC